TAGTAATAGTTGTAGGAGTATTAAATGCTTGTCTTGGTAGCATTATTTCAGAATTATTTTCCATAAAATCTCACCCTTGGTTTAATGGATAAACATTACAAAAAACTTACCTGTGAGGACAGTGCCCCCTGTTGGCCGGCCTGGTCAGTGGCCTGGACGCGGACTCGATAAGAGTCTCTGCTCTCCCTGTCCAGAGATTTCTCCAGAATCACCATCCCCGACACGGGATCGATGGAGAAGAAACCGTTGACCGAGTCCAGCAGAGAATAAACCACAGTGCGGTTCAGACCTGGAGACGACACGAGACAAACGTTCGGGGGTCAGATGTTCTCCTTCCTGTTCATGTGAATCATCTTTTCCATCAGAGAGAGAAGATGGATACTTGCACTAATTGCACGTGAGACATTTGCAATCGACTATCTCTCCTGGTCGTGCTCATAATCTCGCTCCCGTCCGAGTCAGCACTTTGGATGCTCGTGCTTTCACTGCACGTAGGAAACCTCCTGTGCTCATTATCGGCCAAACACCCGACACATAAAACCGTACGTTACATCGCAGCATCTCACCTTCGTCGGGGTCGCTGGCTTGCAGGCGGGTGAGCAGAGCCTTGGGGGCCGCGTTCTCGAACACGCTGGCCAGGTAATGAGGGGAAGAGAACGAGGGGGCATTGTCATTCACGTCCAACAGTTTGAGGGAAATGTCAGAGCGGCAGAACAGGCCACCCCCGTCGGTTGCCTGAGCGATGAGTTTGTAGGTAGGTGTCATCTCTCGGTCCATGACAGTGGCCGTACGCAGCTCACCTAGGACACAAACAGGGAGACGTGTAAAGCTGCGTGGGAGGAGACACGGTGTTTAATTGGTGGTGTTTTAATTGACGACAAAGAGAGGGAGAGTTCATTGAATGTACCGGTGTTTGCATCCATGTAGAAATCTTCGACCCCGATGCCAAACAGGGAATATTGAATCTCCGCACTGGAGCCTGAGTCAGCATCCGTTGCGCCGACTGTCAGGATGCCCTTGTTAGTAGGAATGTCCTCAGGAAACGAGGCGCTGTACACCGCCTGTCACAAGACACACACACACACACACACACACACACAGAGTGGATGTCAATTCCTGACAAAAATAAAATACATCTGTCCAGCACATCTAAAACACATTAAAGTGTTGGCCGCTGCAGCCATTATCCCGGCTGACAGAACGAGCACGACACAGTGAGGTGGCCTTTTCTGACCCCGCTGCTCTCCTGCCCTCACGAGTTCACCAAACACACACAGCGACTAACTGCACTGTGTCCAGGTTCAACGCAGCGCTGCACACCTGCTGCACACCTGCTGCTTCTGTCCGTCACATCCTGGAAATGAGTTAATGTACGAGATGAAGTTATGAAAATTAGAGATGCAACAATAATAGTTGCACAACCAAACATTCAATGATTCTGAGGTTCCAGTTTCTTTGTTGTGTGAATAATTCGGTGCAGACCCATATTTTGAGATTTCTTAAAATTCTTTGTTCCACGTTGTTAACGGGTTAAATTGCAGCTTTTCCAGTTCATATCTTTTATGTTGCTATTTAATTTAATACTGTGTTAAGTTTACATCACTTGAGCAGAGTTTCTTTTATATTCCTACAATAAGACAGAGACAGTCATGTGAAATGCCTCATTTTATATCTTAACCTTATTTGTTTGCCTGTGGGATATAACGTTATTATTAGAAATATTATTATTACTAATACTACAGCTTCTACTGCAACTTTTGTTTTGTCTCCACAATACTCTTACTACGGAATCAACAGGTAGAACTTCTACCACATTAATGATGATATAAAAAAGCTGTGAACAATGTGCTAACAGCACAGTTACAGTACAGAGTCTGACACTTGCTGCTGCAGTTTAATGTCAGAGAAACCAGTTTGTAGGAACACGGTGCAGACTAATCTGAGAACAGAAGGAATAGAAGAGGAGAACAGAAGGAATAGAAGAGGAGAACAGAAGGAATAGAAGAGGAGAACAGGGAGACGGGGAGAATTGATTTCAAAGAGAATTAGTACGAGTTTAGAGGGAGAACGAAAGTTTCTCAACTAATTATGTGCAATTGAAGAGCTGCGGAATTCTCCTAAATGAAAAAGGAATTCCTCGAAGAGCGCGCGGTCCAATTATCTTCCTCTTTCACAGTGATCCTCCTCCCATGCACCAGCTCGTGCACAGTATTAAAACTCATTTCAGGGTGACTCCTGACGTTGCAAGGTAGGAAACAGTTAAATGAGCTGAGTTGATTGGTTTTTAATTACGTATCAAATCTTTTGTCTGCGTCATATTTTCCCATTTAAAGAAAGTTATTCATCAGCTCTTGAATCTGAACGTTTCCAACATGTTTAATATTTTATAATAACAGAATCTGCAGGAATTGACTCTGAACTACAGCGCAAAGAAAATCTTCTTAAATCAAATCACATTGAATTTGAACAGAGAATCAACATTATGACTAAATAAAATCTAATTGATTGATTTTCAAATTCTGATATTATTCAACAGTGAACTAATTGTGGAAACTGGGTCGTCATCTACTTCACGAGACCTTGTCAATCATAGAGTCGGAGCCCGACAGATTAAATCAGTTGATGTGAGGCTTTAACTTCCTGTACACCAACTGTGTCACTTGATGTATTTTCACACTGAGTGTGGTTTCCCTGGAAACAAACAGGGATTAAAGAAAAGTATTCAAACAAATAAAACGAGAGAGTTCATCTCGCCACAGTCGCCTCGATGTTTGTTTACTCTTCCCTCCTCTCCGTATCTTTTCATCTCTGACCTGGTTGCAGATGGGACTGTTGTCGTTGGCGTCCATTACAGTAACTTCCACTGCAGTGCGAGCGACATAAAGGCCGTCGCTGGCTGTGATGTTGAGCAGATACCAGTCCTGCAGCTCACGGTCCAGTAAGCCGCTCACATAAACCTTCCACTCCCCCTGCACCAGGGCCAGGCCGAACACGCCCCGCGGGTTCCCCCCTGTGGAGCGAAAGGACCAGGAATTAAAGTGCTGACACCAGCCGGCAGAAAAAGAGGTGGAGATGTGTTGTGACAAAAAAACTAGAAGTCTTATTATTTCACAAGATCGATAAACACCAGCCCCCCCACCCACCCACCCATCCACCCACAAACATACTCAAACGCATTTGGTGCAATCGATAAGCATCTGTCATCAAAGTGGAGAATCCGGCAGCTGGTGCAGCAGCCACCGGCCTTTCAAAGTTTAAAAATCTGACCTTTTATTACAACACTTCCATTAGGCCAATCAGTATTTTTGAAATGCCAGAGCGTCCGAGCCAAAGTACATCATCCTCAGTCATTATCAGACGCTGCGACGTGAATGCAAAACATCCAGCTCAGCATCAAGGTGAGAGCTTCGCCGGAGAGTTTTTTATTTTTTTTAATTTTTTTTACGACTGCCATAAAAAAACAAAGTGACCACACAAAGTCATGCGTGACTGTGAAAAACTACCACTTACTTTGGACTCTCCCGCTCGTATACACTCATAACATCCTATCGTCTGGAAAGATAACGCAGCGTTTAGTTATGCGTTCCACGCTTTTATTTCCGTTTCCGAAATAAATGCAACAGAAGTGGCGTCAAATGAGCGTTTAAATGATCAAGACCTTTAAGACCTAGAAGTTAATACTCTGAGATGTTTACAACTTTTTAAAGCCTAAATATTCAGATTACTGAAATTGGAAACGATGCTTTTATATACACAAAAAATAGAAGAAAGAAATGAGTAAGAATAATGTGTCTCCTTTCAAGAACGAGTTCCCAGGCTGTTTGGAAAGAAACTGTTATTTGTTATTTAGAAGTTTTGTTGCTTTTCTTTTTTTGGCCGTTGCTGGAAATGTAGTGTTGTAAATTGAAGTGTAGTCAAATTAAAAGATAATATGAAAAACAAAAGGTTTGACATTTGAGTTAGAATTTACTACAGATTTGACCTTTGATAATAACATCTGTGCAGAATGAGCTGAACGACACCCTCAGTGTCTCGCAGCGTTTCCTCACCTGTGATGTAAAAGTTGACTTGACGGTTTTGATCCGTGCCGTCTCGATCTTTGGTCTTCAGAGCGGCCACCACCTCGCCGAGGGGGTCGCTCTCCTTCACTGCTCCCCGGTAGAGCTCCCTCTCGAACCGCGGCGGGTTGTCGTTGACGTCCGACACGGTGATGGTTACCACTGTGGTGGAGGAGAGAGACTTGGACTCGCCCAGGTCAGAGGCCACCACCTCGAAGCTGTAGCTGGAGCAGGCCTCGTGGTCCATCTGAGTCACCGTGGTGATCCAGCCCGTTTTACTGTCGATGGCGAACACGGAGCTCGTGGTGATGGGGCCGCTGACGGAGCGCGCGTCCTTCGTCAAGTCCAAGTTGTAGGTGAGGAGAGGCCCGAGTCTGTAGGTTACCTGAAATGTATAAAAGAATACACAGCTTTACAAATACACATATAAATATACTATTCTCAGAAGAGTGATGCAGTATTTGTACTTCACACACTTGTCCGTTGGAGCCCCAGTCGGGATCGAGGGCGCGCACTTGAACCACTCTCGTCCCAACAGGCATTCCCTCCATCACCGTGGCAACATAAGTGTTTGTCTCAAACACGGGCTTGTTGTCATTCACATCCAGGATCTGCACAATCACAAAAATAACTTGGTTTTTCAGCTTTGTTTATAGTGAAGCTCCCCTTTGACCGAGAGCATCTATTGAAATGGGTTCAAACAAAGTCATATGTTTACAAAAGAAGTATAATATCATATAATATATAATATTTCTGTCACTCTTCGGCCTCCATATGCTACTTTACACATTTTCAAAAAGTCTGCAACAGGTATTGCGAAACAAAGCCTGCATCACCAACCTTAACCTCCAGGTCCACAGTCGTGACGGACTCGATCAGGTCCCTCCTTGTTGTTGCTGCGACCTTGAAGCGGAAGATGCTGACCTCTTCGTAGTCCAGCGGCTTGACCAGACGGATCAGACCCGTCTCCCTCTCCACGAGGAAAGTCCCTCCCTGGTTGCTGTCGAGCGTCTCCCCCTTGACGACGGTGAAGAAGCCGCTCTGTCCGGGGCCCATGTACACGGACCCCAGGGCCGTTCCTACTGCTGTGTCCTCGGGGATGGTGAAGGAATACTGCGGCTGGCTGAAGGACGGCACGAACGCGTCCGGGGGGACGACGTGGATGAAGGCCGACACCAGGGAGTGTTTGGGTGGCGACCCGCAGTCTGTGGCTTTGACGAAGAAGGACAGAACCGTCCCCTGGAGGTGGTCCACGGTGCTTTTAGTCATCATCCATCCGCTGTCTGGCTCCACCTGGATACCAGCAGAACCACACTGTCATTATTATATACCCTAAAAACTATCCATCCATCTAATTATTCATCTATTTATGTTATACAGCCTTTTCATATTTTCATTTAGTCGCTTGTTCGTTATTTAATTGCGTTTCCCTTTTAAACTGTGAAAACTGACTGAAGCATCAATCTTCACGAGACATCGTTTTGATTTGATGAGCAGAGACGAACAATCTACAGCTGACAGATGGTTGTTAATCCACAGAAATGAGGAGGGGGGGGGGCTGTCAGCTGAGAATTTAGCTCTTAATTCAAAAAGAGGGGAATCAACATGGTTTACTCTCATCAAACACATTTGTTGAAGTTTGTATCATGGGAACTGAGAGGACGTGTGAAACACAGCCCAGTTACAAAAAGCACAGAGTCGAATACACGGACCTCCAGCACGTCAACCAGCGACAGACGAGCTTCGCTGTAAAGGGAGTAGGTGATTCTTCCGTTGGGCCCAGCGTCAGGGTCTGTAGCTTGGATCTGTGTGACCAGAGACCCTTTGGCAACATTTGCTTTAATACTCATGCGGTACTCCACAGCTCTGAACCGGGGGGCGTTGTCGTTTTCATCAGCGAGGACCACTCGTACTGTGCAAAATGATGCACGGCCTGCAAAAGTAAATGTATAGATTTATCACATATATATATTATTCACTGTAACGCATATGTTCATAAATCTGTGTCCACCGCTATACCTCCACCATCCAGGGCCATAACGGTCAGCACCATGTCCTTGTTCAGAGGATTTTCTCTGTCTAACTTCTGGAGGGTGGAGATGACTCCATCTGCATCGATGTTGAACTGAGTTTTTCCGAGGTCGTTGATAAATGAATACGTGATCTGGCCGTACAGCCCGGAGTCCTCGTCTGTTGCACGAACCTGGAGGTCGAGAACAGAATTTCAGGAATTTAAGTTGATGTTGCCTCAGAGCAACAGGTTTGATACCCAGTTTGGTCTTTCTGTGAGAAGTGTACATGGGTTTTCTTCAGCCCTGGGGTTTGGTTCATTGGAGAATTGTGTCTAAAATCTCTAGAACAGTGTCCATGAAGGTCTGAGGGACTTTTCAAAAGACATTTTAAGACTCCGGCTGTGATTTTACTTAATGGCTGATGATTTATAAAGTTTATTTTTAATATCCCACTGCATCATTGATGGAGAGAGACTAATTAGTGAGGAAGGAAACTCACCTGAATGACCTTTGACCCTGGAGGGGCATTTTCTTGGACCTCAGCCAGGTAGAACCTCTGACTGAACACTGGACTGAACAGGTTCGCTCCGAGGACACGAACAATCACCTGTGGATCAATGTCACTGTTACAGTCAGCATGTTTACCGTCATCACCATCATCCCCATCATCCTCATCATCCTCATCATCCTCATCATCATCATTACTAAATGGTGATTGGTGTGAAAAAAACAGATTGGGATGATAATGCTACTCCATGTTTTCATTGCTACACCCTGTTATCACTGCTACACCCTGTTATATTTCAAACGTGGTGTAACTGAGCCAAAAATCCCACATGTCCCACTTGTAATTTACATTAAGAGACAGATGTGGCCATTTTTTTTTTCCAGTTGGCAGCTCATCCTCGTAGCAAATTAGAAATGACATGAACGCACATTAACCTCTAACTGCGGAGCCGCTCAGCAGCCGCTAGTGAGAAGCTGCAGTCTCACTGCATAGCTGCAAAGTGCTTGTAATAAATTTGAAGCAAGGTTTGCTAAAACAGGTCACGCAGCTTGCAGGCTGTAAGAAAAAAAAGAAAAAGACGGCAAATCAGTCGACAGAAGTAAATTGTGAATGCAGTGGAGCTGCCTCACCTGAGCAGTGTTGGTGAAGACTCCATCTGACACAGACACATTGAGTTGATACGAGAGTTTCATGCCTTGTCTCCTCTTGTTAGACAGACGGAGCACTCCGGTGTCTGGCTCCATCATAAAAGTCATCCTCTGGTTCCCGGAGACAACGCTGTACCTGGAGGAGAATTTACCAAAAAAAAAAGAGCACGACGATGATTATTTTGCTTAGAAGCTGCTGGAAATCAAAGTATTCTTGAGAAGTGCTGAGTTAAAACTAGAATTTGTGTTGTTGCTTCAAATGGTTTACATGCTCTGATGCTCTAAAACACTGGACACTGAGTTAAACTAGCCATTAGACTTGCATTATGCAAATATGGGGCACTATCACATGTGACGTCCTGAAGATGCAGAAATATTGATGGGGCTACTGACAAGGTCTTTCAAGAGTGTCTGTGTTTCCTGTGGGGGAGGGGAGCTTCCTGTACCACAGACTTTGTGTTATTTAACTTGGCAGAACTACACAACAAAAACCTATTACAACCGACTAGAGGAACGAAACTAAAAAACATTATACGTCCACTTCGGGGGGGGGGGAGAAAAGACCAAAGGTTCTCTGGACAAAATGAATGTTTGAGTTGACCTTTGTTTAAAGGACCATGAAAACATGTTTCTTCCGTGTTACCTCAGCCTTTGAGCGTCACAGATGTCAGCGTCTGAAGCCTGAACACAAGTCACAAAGTGTCCGCGGGGAGCGAGCTCGCTGACAAAGGCCTCGTACAGCGTTTGGCTGAAATTAGGTGGATTGTCGTTGGTGTCGGTGACGGTCACAGTTACGCTGACGTCGCTGCTGAGGGCCGGGTCCCCGCTGTCCATCGCCCTGACGATGAAGTTGTAGCGCTGGACGAGCTCGTAGTCGAGCAGGCGCGCCGTGAATATCAGCCCGCTGCTGCTGTCGATGTGGAAGTAGTCGCTGTTGTTGTAGATGTCAGACAGGATCTGGTAACTCACTGCAGCGTTCTTCTCCGAGTCCTGGTCCTGAGCAAACACCTACAGCGAGAGAGACATTGAACTTCTCAGCACACATCGTTCCAGATCAGATTACTCTGATAGACTCTAAATGGCTGCGGGACCCGAGGCCTTTCAAAAAAATCTGATAAAGTTTATGAGACTTTATGACGACTCACATCCCGACCTAATCAAAACAACTGAATGAATGAAGTTGTAATATTAGAAGAAAAAAGTTTTTTTAGGCCACATATAATTTTAGTCTGTTTGAGTCTGTTAAAATGAGAAATGTGGAACATCTTGTTAAGTTATTCTTTAGTGAAGGTTTCGCAAAGAACAAAACACTTCATCTTTTGACTCAAACAAGCTGCGAGGAATTTAAATGTGTGACACAGATTCTCAAGGCGAGAGCTGCTTCTCCTTCCTAAACATTTCCTGACAAATGCTTTTCTTTTTTGCTTTATTCTCCATATTATGATTTCTCATTAAATTACGACACATTATTATCGGTTTCTTCTCAACTAGGACGTATTCTCATAACATCATTACTGTGTTCTCCAGTTATTACGCCATTATTCTCGAAATCTCAGATTCTTTGCTTTGAGGATAAACTTTTTTGTCGTTGATCTCAAGTGTTTTGAGCTGCGTCGACTAAATTAAATTAGTTTGATCAATGAAGTGAACAATATCACAGTTTCTGGCTGAGGTGTATTGTAAGGGACAGCAAATAATAATAAGATCCATTATTCATAAATTGTTTTCTTGAATAGAGTACAATCAAATACGGCCAACAACCTGTCTGACTACAGATATTTTACCATAAACAAAAATGAATTAAAAAAGAAGTGTCTTTGAATTGTCTTGCACAAAATGTTTCTCGGGGCAACTACAGCCCTGGTCTATTATCTGCTAAAGGTCGAAAGCTTCCACTGGGAAATTTCCAGGGAAATACGGCACTATCTGCTCATACATAAATGATTTGGAATCTAATATTCATCCGCAATGCTGCCTGAGGGAAGTTTAAGTGTAAACAATCATTCAGAGAGAGTACACACAAAATACAAATACACACACAACACACACACCTGTAACACGGTCGTTCCGATCATGGAGTTCTCAGGAAGCACAGTGAAGTAGGAGTTATTCTGGAACAGCGGTGGGTTATCGTTCACGTCCAGCACGACGATGTCCACGTCGACCTCAGACTTGGCCCCGGTCAGTGTGTCTGTGGCCTTCACCGTTATGCGGAAATACTGCGTGGTCTCGTAGTCTAGCGGGTAAACCACGCCGATGATTCCTGTGTCGAAGCCGATGTCGAACTGGAGCGACGGGTCTCCGTCAGTGATGCTGAAGATGACGCTCTGGCCTTCGGGGCTGGTGGCGTTGATGCACAGGACGGAGGTGGAGACGGCCACATCCTCTCGGACGGTGACGCCGTAGAAGGGCTTGTCAAACACTGGCATGGCTTTATTTACCACGGTAACGGGCAGATCCACCTCACTGGACAGAGGAGGGAGGCCGCCGTCAGTAGCCACAAGGACCAGCTTGTACTCTGCGTTGGATAAATCCACCTCAAAGGCTCTTTTCAAGCTCAGCTCTCCTGTCACTGGATTGACCTGCACAGAATATGGAAACAGTGGTTTGTACCATAAGGAGACAACCCATGAATTTCAAAATGTAGAAGAAAACTTCCTTCAGGAGCTGAACAGATGTCGCTCTCACCTGAAAGTTCCTGTGCTGCTCCTTCAGGCTGTAAGTCACTTCTCCGTTCAGGCCGAAGTCTTGGTCAGTGGCCGACGCCTTGAAAATAGCCAATCCTGGCTCTGCTTCCACCTGCACGGCAGCGTAGTACGGGAGGTTCACGAACTCTGGAGCATTGTCGTTCACATCCTCCACCTGCGGAGACGACAAAGACAAAAGCCTTCCATCATCAAATGCAATTCCCGTCTAAATCGTTTTTTTCAAACTAAAATAAATATAGTTTGTAAAGGACAATTTGCAAATATAAAGTTTCCATGCAAGTGGGAAATAAGACCCTCATGCAGACACACACACTCCCACCTGCACTCGTACGGTCACCCTGGCCACTCTCAGTATCTCGTCCTCTCTGTTGACCTCCACCACCAGCTCGTAACTCTCCCTCTCCTCCCGGTCGAAGCGCACACCGGTGGTGAGCACCACTCCGCAGGTCGGCCGGATGATGAAGCGTCCGCCGGGGTTCAGCAGAGTGTACTTGAGCGGCTCGTTGAGACGGTGTCCGACCGTGTTGACAACAGTCACCACAGTGACATTGGCTATGTTCTCTGGGATGGAGGCGGAGTAGAGCGGTTGGGTGAAGAGGAGGCCGCTGTCGATCGCTTCTCTGACGACCACAGTCACTAACGCCATGCTTGAGAAACGTCCGTCCCACACCTTGGAAGGGACAAAAAGAATGAGGGTGACGCTGCCTGATGTGGTTCTCATCTATAAATGTATTATATATAATGTTATCCTCTTGAGGGTTGTGGGGAGAGCTGGAGCTAATCCCAATGAGATGCGACAAACAAATATCACTTTGGACTTTCTAACTAACCTCACCCCAATCTGGACGTCTTTGGAGGAAGCGGGAGTACTTGGAGAAAACACTGAGCTCAGATGGGGAAATTTCTCTGAACATATATAGAACAGCTGACTCAGGATTGGATTATGCACAGAATGTGATGCTGGAGGTTTAAAAAAATGCTGTGTGCGTTGCTGTTTTCTTGTCTCAACCCTGAAGCATGGAGACCTGAAGACCACCCCTCTCACTGAAGTGCCCTACATCAAGACACTGAATAACCAGAGGCTCTGTTCTACAGCTGACCCCCTGCTCTCACCTCCCTGTGGAAATAATTACTAACCAAGCCAAGTGCATACTGATTATCAAAGCCAGCGACAGAGCGCACCAACAGAAATTCTTATCACGTGAGCACCATCAATCATTTTACCTTCACATTAAAGCGGTAGCGATCCTTATTGAGGTTGGGATTGATGACGGTCACGACTCCAGTGTTGCGCTGCACCGAGAATTGCTCCGCGTTGTTGTCCACCAGAGAGTAAACCAGCACGGGGGTGACCGGATTCAGGCCGAGGTCCGAGGCCGTGTCAGGGTCAAAGGCCTCCACTCTGAGCACCTCGACTCCCACGTAGGTCGGCAGGAGTAGGACTGTCTCGTAGGTGTCCTGAGAGAACTTGGGAGGCGAGTCGTTGATGTTGATCACCTGAGAAGCAGCAGAAAGAGATTTTTGTTGACAGTATAACAGAAGGAATTAAAGTGGTGCATGAGGCAGTGATTTACCTTTATCACCACGTCTGCTGGGCTGTCAGCAGTCTGAGGAGGCTGACCTCCGTCTCTGACATGAACCCGGAAGACAAACTCAGAGAATGTCTCATAATCCAGACTGGCGATTGTTCTAAAATTCAAGAACAATTTATTTACCCAGACATCACGAGCTATATTACGTTAAAAGCAGGTGAATCAGACATCATCAGTTTCACCTACCGAATCGATCCCGTCCCAGAATCCACGCTGAAAAACATGCGAGCGGTGTCGTCTATGATCTGGAACGCCAGCAGGGCGTTGTGGTTTCGGTCCCTGTCGGTCGCCCTGATGACTAAAGGCTTTCCATCCTCTCCCAGCACCACACTGTTGACCGGAGCAGCCTCACTGATTTCACCCACGTACCTGATGTAACGGAGGAGAAACTTCCCGTTTAAAATCCCTCCAGACAAACATGTCAGCATCAAACCTCTACCTTCCGTCTACTCTGTAAATTAGCTTCCACTGATACCTGATTTGTTGGAAGACGGGCGGGTTATCGTTGACGTCCCCCACCTGGACGATGACAGAGGTGCTGGCCTCCACTCCGGCCATGCTCAGAGCGTGCACCACCAGGAAGTACGAGGTTGTTTGCTGCCAAAACAAAGATGAGGAAAAGTTGTGTTTTAAGTCAAAGTTATTATTCAAGGAGGTTTTGTTTCCCCCAGCAAGATAACGTAAAAACCGTAGGACTTTTTTCAACATTTGCACTAATAAACCAGAGAATAATTCCTGGATCTGGCATTTTTAGGGGACTGATTTCTTTAAGTGTGTGAAAATGTGGTGCCGCTTGTTTGAATATAAGGGGAACGTTGGATCTTTGCAGAGGTATGCGCTCTCCGCTCTCCTGAGTGCCACTCTGGTTTGAACGTTTTTTAAGTGAAAAGTGAAAAACAATCTGTGCAGGAAAACAAAATTCAAATGAGGCTTATTTTTAAATGTTAATGCGCCACTGCTTTTTATTTCTGCTTCAAGGGAATCTAACAGCAATTGTGCAAAACAGTGTGATAATATTCAAAGAAAGGTTGCACAGAGTTTGTTTTCACGTCTGTTCACTTCAAAAATCAACACGTCATTTGCCCAATCTTTTTCACGAGTGTCTACAACGAGTTTTTGCAAGTGGATGTTGAAATGCAAATTCACAAACCTCAAAGTCAAGTGGTCTGCGTGTGCTGATTACACCGGTGTGATGGTTAATGAAGAAGCAGCGCTCCTCGTTCCCCCTGTTGATGTCATAGATGAGAGCTGAGCGGCTGAGGGCGCTGACGGTCGTCACATACGTCCCGACAGTGCTGTTCTCCATTATCTGAAAATACAAAGTCTAATTTTAGGCTGAGTTATGTCCATTGGTGATACGATATTAACCTACTGAATATCAGAGATCATCCCCTCCTATTCCCTCCCCGATACACCCGACCGCTCCGCGGATCACCTCTGTCTTTACCTCCGCCTGATACTCCTTCTGAGTAAATGTAGGTTTGGAAAAGTCAGAGAGAATCATGGAGATGCGAACTGAAGCTGTGGCCATTAACGGTGGAAATCCACTGTCCGTGACCCGAACAGTGAGAGTGTAAAAGCCCACGCAGGTGAGATCCAGGTCCTTGGTGATGAAGATGAGGCCCGTGGTGTTTTCGATGCCAAACACGCCAGCAGAGTTACCTGGAAGAAGTGGAAAGGTTGTAAATATATAAAATTGAATAAATCCCTGTTTGCTCTCCTCTGACAAAGTTTTAATTGTGAAACTGATGAAAAGAGAAGAAAAGAGAGAAACTTCCAGATGAGCATCACACCTGCTTCTATGGTGTACGTGAGCTGCCCGTTAATCCCATTGTCTTTGTCTAAGGCCGTCACTTGCAGCACAGACGTTCCAACGGGAGACGACTCATAGGCCAGGGCGTCGTAAACGGTGCTGGTGAAGTACGGGATGTTATCGTTGGAGTCCTCCACTGCCACCAGGATTCGAGCCAGGTCTCGGTTGAATGGAAATTCCTGATCCTTGACCTACAGCAGCATCAGGGAAAATGAGAGAGGAATACGGATGGTGTTGCAGGAGGCTATAAATGAAGGAAACCAGCTAAAATTAAGTACGGCAGGTGGAGTTGCCAAGAGTTGCATTACTTGGAGGACACACACATACATTAACAAACACTTCTGAGTTCTCCTGCGTCTTCTCACCATGATAGTGAGGATGTGCTGCGTTCTGGCCTCGTAGTCCAGCCTGTCCGCCGTGTAGACCACTCCGGTGCCGGGGTTGACCCTGAACAGCCTCATGCTGGCCGGGTCCACGCTGCCGTAGATGGTGAAGCTCAAGCGAGCGCGCTCGTCCACGTCTGTCGCTCTAACCCGCAGCAGCTCCATGTCAACCGGCACATCCTCTGAGACGCTGACATCATACGCAGCCTGCGAGAAGACCGGAGGGTTGTCGTTGCTGTCTTGTATCCGGATGAACACCTGAGTGACGAGGAGAGGAGGGGGGGTTTAGAAAAAGTCGGTGGAGTTGGTGCACAGAAGAATCGTGCGCAGTAAATTCCCCTCACGGATTAGAGCGCTGGTGTAGAAGCAGCTGGATAATACTTTATACAGTTGTGGGTTAGTATTGTCCCCCCTGGTTTTCTCATTTACAAAGAAAGAGATACCTTTAAAACTGTTATCACTATCTCTTCACACTGAGGCAAGGCTATATTTATGTTGCTGTTCAGAGCCGTATGGTCTGTTGTCAAAGAGGGATGTGAGCAATTTTTGGATTTACACAAACACTTGACCTTTCCTTGCCGGGGCTAATCCCATTAATCCAGTGATATCGAGGGTTTCCCTCACAAGGCAGACCCAGTGGGGCAGCCCAGGCAGCGGGAGCACGGGAAATGTCAAAGGCAAGAGAATATTTCATAGTCAGCGAGAGATAATTTCGGGAAAAGGGAGTGCGAGTGTCGAAGGGAGGAAAGATGAGAGTAAACAGCTCCTCTCGGAAGAGGTAACAATAATTTAATTTGATGTGGGTCTGGAGTGTGTAAATGACAGCGCCAGAGCATAACAAATCAAAAGTGTGAGTACCTGTGCCGTGGCAAAGCTGGTCCCATCCGTCACCTGAATGGTCATGTTGTACACAGACTGCACCTCTGCATCCAGGGGCTTGGCCACAACTAGAGTCCCCACCCCGACTTGAAGGTCATACTGCATGTCAAAGCTCCCTGGAATCACACACACACATAGATCACACAGGGGTTCAGCCGTTTAGTATTCACTTTGTGTGCTAAACTCAGGTGCTCTAAGTTATTACTGTGTAATTGTTTTGGCCAGGTGCCTGTGTCTGGAGCTGGAGGGTCTGTGAAATAAAATAAAATGAAGCAAAATGCAATGCAACACAGCGGCGTGCCCACTTGGCAGCTTGAGAGCTGTTAACAGCCACACAAACATCTGTCTTATCACTCCAAAACACAACCCATCTCAGAGATCAAAAAACCTGCAGCCGGGTCGTTTCCACAGGCGGTGAGTGTACAGTTTAGAGGCTTAATGTTTGATTAGAGCGAGGGCGAGGGTTGACGCGCGTTAGGTATTCAGCACCATGCTCCGTCTCACTTCAGCTTCTCTCTCTCTTGAGATATCTGGGAGCTGGAGCTGTCCTCAGCATATGAATACTGATCGGGCATTTTTCACAGAACCACTGAACCACTGATGTGTGTTGAGTTGGATCAAACCACAGGGATTTGTGCTTTTTGTTGTTGTTGTTTTTTGTGTGTAGGTTGGTCAGTATTACACTACAGGGGAGCTGTCTTGCAGCATTAAGAAAAACAGACATTTCTGTGTGCAGCATCGAAATAAAACGTGTCCTGTTTCCTCTCTGTATTCACGGGTTATTATTGAAACAGTAGCATCTGTTTAACAGGTGCTGGACCTTTATGTGTCCACAGACGAAATTGTGTTGTTGAGTTAACACCTTAAAGTGTGTGAATCCAAGTGTGTGCTCCCAGTAGCATACATCTGCAAACAGCTTTTATAAATATCCATATCCAAATATCAATATTTATTATTCATTATCACCAGCAAATACACTGCCACACTGTCTTTTTGTCTTTTTGTAAATTCATTGCACACTGAATATGTTCATATGTATATAGCAGTAGTCTAACCTTTAAATGATCTTGTTTAATTTTTACTATTGTTATTGTTTTTAAAAAACACGACTGTCCTGTTGCTGCTGTGACAAAGTAATTTTTTCCCCCGTTTGTGGGACAATAAAAGGATTCTGATTCTGATTCTGATTCTGATAAAAAATGAAGGATGCACATAAATCTGTTCAGTAGAAAATGATTTGTATTTAATATCACACTCTTTCATATTTGTCTTAATTAAAGATAACAACCTTGATTGCCGTCAGCAGTGACAGGCATGACTAATGACTTAAAGGGGCCCAGTTTACCTTCTGATCTCTCGCGGTGTTTTACAGTGAGACCTTTTCGATAATTTTGTTTATATCACATTCTATCAGCAAATCTACAAAATACATATGAACAACCCATCAATTCAAAAAATATGTATATTTATCTTATCTACTACTGCAGTACTTTGGACACAGACATAGTATTCTTTACTTGTTAAACATGGTATGACCGACGGCTAATGTGAGCGTGAACACCTGACGAGTCCCGATGTATATTCAACAGTAACTTTCAATTTCAGACGTGAACTCTAGTAAATGTCCGGACGCAGCGGGAGATCGTTCATGTCGGACGCATTCGCGACGACAGGACGATGTCCGGAAAGCGAGGGGTGGAGCCTGCGTGGACGCACCGTATGAATTCAGCTGCAGAAGTCACATGTTTTGTGAAGTTGACGTTTTCAACATGCATGACTCTGTTTCATCCTCAGATATTTGTATTCTTCCAGTTTCACATCAGTAGCATGTTCGAAGTACGTCATCAGCACGTCCACTTGTTGTCCGCATATCTTCCTGCTGTATTTCACATGACACCTCTCACGTTACTTCCCATTTAATAGCCTTTTATTATAAACTTCTTTTACACTCTTTAAGTTTCGTCTCTCTGACGTAGTTACTTCCCAAAGCTGAACTAATAGCATGAACCTGCCCTGCATGAAAAAAAGAAATTAGTGCTGTTTGTGTAAAGTTGTATGAGAATCCTGTTTTAAACCCAGATCAATAGGTTCTGCCTTTGGCAAAACAAGCCCCTGGTGCTACATGCTGCATTTCAACCGTTTTCTGGTTTCCTCCAGAGCTGAGGCTTTCAAGAAAAAGAGGTGTGGAGAAGTTAAGCTTTGACCAAACCTGTGTCGAGTGAGCAGTTCCTTCCACACGCGTTCTGTGGAATGTAGAACATTTCTCTGGCGAGACGTCCGCCTAAGAGAGAGCGTGAGAGGGATAAAGTTAGAAACAGAGATTATTAATATTTAGGAATTTGAGGATATATATCAAAGTCTGCATCATTTACAGTTTATATACGGCGCTCTGCAAGGTCGACAGTTTTCACAGGCGTGAGTGTTATTAAGTAATGTAAGCAGACCGGTTATCAGAATAATTCAGCACAGGAGACGAAATGTGACTCAGTCGTGAATGATAGTTTGAGTCCAGCTCGAGAGGTTTGAGAGAATATATCATCATCACTCCAGTTGCATTTTAAGCACAAGAAAATTAAATATTAAAAAACTTTTCCTGCACAATTACCCCACAGGCATCAACAGTAAGAATGGAACAAGAAAAATCCACCACATTAGCATTTTCTGTATCTTTTAAAGAACATCTAAGTGAGAGATCTGGGTCTCTGCAAATGTTTCGGGTTTTTTTGTCATCAAAACTACTGAATAGCAAAAGCAGTAATTATCTATTATATTCACGGATTATTCTCTCACAGGCTTAAATCAGGAGGTAGAAGCATCGAGCTGAGCAGCAGCAGAGGAAGAAGTCGTTCCTTCATTGTTATTAGTTTGCATATGAATAAATAAACCCTCGAGAGCGACAGAGCTTTGTACAGACTTTGCCCTTTACCTGTTTACAATTAATCTCCACTACATAACGTGCCAGTGGCATTTTGATTTTAACAAGCTAATTTAGATTGTGCGGTTAATGAGAGGTAATGGAAATGAACTGAAATATGTCAACGTTACAGGAAAGTTGTTGAGGAAGCCTGCGCTTTGAATCACACTGTGTAACCTGCAACATTTTGGTTTTAAAGAAGATTTATT